AGTTAGCATCAACGGATAATCTTAGTCGGATCACGGGATGGACTGCCACTTTTATAAAGCGTATTCAACAGCGGCATATAACGGGTTTGAGCCTAGAACCTTCCGCCCACAGCCCGGTACGCTAACCCTAGCGGTATTATAAATTTGTAGGTGCGCGCATGAAAATGTGTACACACGTGTGGTGTGATTGATCCAAAAAACACTTTTGCTCTATTTGTATGCTGCATCCAGATACAGATGTACACATACATACACACATTCACGTGCATATTAATCTGTCAGGGAAGCCCTCTAGTGGCTTAGCATTAACCTGTAGGGTGGTGCTGGGGGGGGGGATGTAAACATTAAAAAAAATTAAATCACTAAAGTTATGCCAGACTTTGTTTCTTTGTAGTTAATTAAGCACAAAGCTACACAATGTGCTATTTGTGCCGTGCCACCTAGGGTGTTGAAAACCGATTTTTAGAGTTATAAGTTCGTAGACTTATCGCTGAGCGACTGGGAGGTTATGCCATTCACAAGTCTTTACTCTATGTAGAATCATTAACATGTACTAAAGTAGAGGATGTAATTGGGATAATAATACATTAACCATGAATTTATTCATCTACCATACCGAAGGGGTCCCAGAGAAATTAAAATCAAACATTCCATACACTTGATAGTAAGGAGAGGAAGGAAGGATAGGTAGAGGGGTTTTAAAGATGACCCGTGAAAGAAATTAAAGTCAAACATTCCAGACACTTGATAGTAAGGAGAGGAAGGAAGGATAGGTAGAGGGGGTTTTAAAGATGACCCGTGAAAGAAATTAAAATCAAACATTCCAGACATTTGATGGTAAGGGGAGGAAGGAAGGATAGGAAGAGGGGTTTTTAAAGATGACCCGTGAAAGAAATTAAAATCAAACATTCCAGACATTCGATAGTAAGGAGAGGAAGGAAGGATAGGCAGAGGGTTTTAAAGGTGACCCGTGAAAGAAATTAAAATCAAACACTCGGACACTTAATAGTAAGGGGAGAAAGGAAGGAAGGATAGGCAGGGAGGTTTTAACCCACTGATTGCGGCTGCTCTAAACGCGCGCGGTATTTTTGTAGTCTTTCTTTTATGTATTGCGTTATGACGTTTTGTGAAAAGTCTGTACATGATGGAGAAAAATGGATATAATTTTCGGATTCAGCGTACAGCAGTTACCGTAGAACATGTAAAAATTTCAAGACAATAAAACCATCACAGGCCTGTGTAATTGTTAAGTGCTACAAAGCTGTCGTTAACGCTTGTTACACGTTACAGAACTATTCTGAACAGAAAATATAAAGTTAATGTTTAAGATATGACTGAGTAATAGCAGAAATTAAAATTTTCTCCCCAAGTAAAATACGATAGAAGTTAAAGTATGACTCTCCTAAAAACAAATAAATAGTATACATCCTCATACAGGACTAATCTACAAATTGCTTTATATGTCTTTAATACCGCTAGATGGGGCCACATTCATAGAGCAAATATTCAAGATTTCAGATTCTTTTTTTTATTTTCTTAAACAAGGGTTATTTGTACATAGCTGTCTTTAGTTATTTAATTGATAGGTTAAAGGGTAGGTAAGTAGTGGGCACTACTCACGGTGTACTTTTAGGCTACTTTTATCTGACCGATAGGATCTGACTATCACTCTTATAACGCATCCGCAGCCCAAAAATTCCGCGAATGAACCATTGATCCTTGAATTCACAGCTCCAAGGTGCGGGTCTCGTTTTCACGACAATGGTACGCGGACTATGTATCTCCGGATTTATTGTCCGGGCACACTAACCAGTTGGCCACGACCACCTATGTCAACGATTACTGTAGAAAAGGGATTTAATTCTCTAGTGATAAAATAACTTTATTATTTCTTTGTTTTGGAGCTACATAATGAGCTATGAGCATTTTGTACATCGCGGGGAATCGAACCTTAGGCTCTAATGTTATATGTCCGTAAACTTACTACTGACCCACCACGGAAATTTTACGTTAATTATATAAAAAGATATAATAATGTATGTCTTGAAGTATTTTTTAACACTTATTTCAGTTTGATAACCATTATACGCACAAAATTAGCATAATAATCAGAGAGTGCTGCTTAGTGGCTAGCGTACTGGACTGCGGATTGTAATATCCAAGGTTCGAAACTGCGATAAGCTGATAAACACACTCCGCGTTTTCAGCTGTGGTCGAATTGTAAGAGTGACAGTACATCCCGCTATACGGTAAAGAGTATCCTTGCAGGCGGTGTGTGTGCTGTTGCCTGGCTGCCTCTCTCTCTCTAGTCAACAGTTCTAAAAATCAAATACATTTGCTATTCAACAGTGCAGAAAATAACACCAACATCTCTTCTCGACGTGTCTTTAAAAATCACAGGCTCTTCAGTAGCACAATATTCATCTTTATGAGCCTTTCTGAAAAGACACAAATGGTTTACAATGTTGATATTTTATTTATTTATAAAGCAGAAGCTGTCAGAATAGACAAAGAGGAATAATTATGTAGGGCGTAAATGGCAGTGGTATAGGAAGTAATATAGTAGACATGCAGATTTTACAACGAGAGATTGAAAGTATAAGAAGCTGATAAAAGTACCTTCCGTGCTGCCAAAGACAGCTCGATCTAGGGGGTCTGGGGGCATGCCCCCCAATCAGACTCTAACTTGACACTTTAAAAAAACTCGGTGGACCAATCAGACTCTAACTCGACACTTTAAAAAAACTCGGTGGACCAATCAGACTTCAGAAGAGTCTTTGAAGCTTCGATTCGTTTTTAGTCTTGTGGAACGAAGACGTGTTTCTGATCAATCGTGTAATTTGCCCATTTAAGTCTGATGATACGTATCACTCCGTTAGAGGGCGCCGGTTGACACTGTGGTAGAGCTTTCGTTGCTTGTTTGTTTTGAATTTTGGGCAAAGCTACTCGAGGGCTACCTACGTTAACCATCCTTAATTTTGAAGTGGTAGACTAGAGAGAAAGCAGCTAATCAACAACACCCACCGCCAACTCTTAGGGCGCTCTTCTATCAATGAATATTGAGATTGGCCGTGACATTATAACGTCCCCACGGCTGAAAGGGCAAGCAACTTCGTAGATGGGATTCGAACTCGCGACCCCACAGATTGAGAGTCGAGTGCCCTAAACATCAGGACATGCTAGGCTTGTGTGGTAGAGCTCCGGATTTGGGGGCTGGCGGGCTGGGTTCGAATCCGTGCGATACCACAAAATCTCCCCCACCCCATTTTAAGTTGTTGTGGCGTTATAAGAGTGAGATTTAATCTCATAGGTTGGATGGCTGGTGGTAGAGTGATCCTTACACGCCTCCTTCCCTCCGTTCAGTATATAGTTCAAAATTATGTATGGCGGCATAGATTCACTCCATTAGAAGAGCCGGAATAGTATTCGTGTCATTTTCTATCCAGGCAACATTAAGAAGTATTCGTGTCATTTGATATCCAGGCAACATTAAGAAGTATTCGTGTCATTTGATATCCAGGCAACATTAAGAAGTATTCGTGTCATTTTCTATCCAGGCAACATTAAGAAGTTTTCGTGTCATTTGATATCCAGGCAACATTAAGAAGTATTCGTGTCATTTGATATCCAGGCAACATTAAGAGCACATTTTAAAGAAAGTAACATAATTTAATTTAATCTAACAGATCAGACTAGATAGGTATTATAAATAAGTAGTTAAAGTTCGATTACTATATAGGTATTAGCAATGGCACCCCATCTGCACGTGGGCCAAGCAGTTAGGGAAGAGGCCCTTAAGATGCGGTATGACCTGGTGGTTAGGGAGCGCTCGACTCGCAATCTGCGGGTCGCGGTTTCGAAATCCCCGTCCCCAAACATGCGCGCTCTTTCAGCCGTGGGGATGTTATAAAATGACGGTCAATCCCACTTTTCGTTGGTAAAAGAGTAACCCAAGAGTTAGCGGTGGGTGGTATGACATAATGGTTAGCGTTTGGGGCCTATGAACAGTAGGTCCAGGGTTCGAGACAAAGTGCCGCTGAACACAATCTCCACTTTCAACTGTCCACCGTGGAAGCACCCCCCCCCAGTGGCGCAGCGTATGTCTGCGGACTTACAACGCTAGAAACCGGGTTTCGATACCCGTGGTGGGCAGAGCACAGAAAGCCCATTGTTTAGTTTTTTTTTGCTTAACTTCAAACAAACCAACATACAAACCACCTCTGGAAAGTTTCGCTGCTAAATGAAAGTATTTGTCAATTAACATATTCCCCAAGTGACGAAGCTCTAGTGTTTTGTGCTTAACAACACTAACGGCGAAACTTAGTGTCGTGTCGGGGGGGGGGGACAGCTATACATGCAAAATAATATAAAATAAAACGATTTTTTTTTCTGTTCAAAGATTCGATTTTATATTCTGGTGCCGATTGTTGTGTCCACCGAGAGGAATCGAACCCCTGAATTTAGCGTTGTAAATCCGAAGACGGGGGGGGGAGGGGTACGGTGCCGATTATGAAAAGATAATATCAGTTATTTATAACAAATAATCGCGCTAAATTAAAATACAATAAACCATTCTATTGTTTATAGAGTACGATTTATGTATCAGAGTGCTTTATAACAACATCATCTATTTGTGCTCTTCTCACCGCGTGTATCGAACTCAGATTTCTAGCGTTGTAAGTCCTCAGATTTACCGTCGAACCACCAGGAGGAGAGAGGTGGGAACGATGCTTAATACTTTGTTGTAGTTTAGCTTTGTTAAGCTTCAACAGTTTAATTCTCACATACGCTTAAATTTTGAACATTAACGCTGAGATTTGATTAATTGTTTTTCCTATCATAGACTTGCTATTTTTCTGCATTTATTTTTGTAGTTTAAAAGAGATAAATGTTACGAGCTACGGAGGTTAACAATATAAAATAGAACTGGAACTTATTCGGCACAATAACTAAGTGTCAACGAGTAACAAAGACTCTTTCAAAAGTATTAATTTTCTTACCTGTATCACACGCATGTTCAGACCTGTTTCCTGTGCTAGCTGCTCCCGGATGTGACGTGTGGGTTTCGGCGTAGCCGCAAAGGCAGCCTTTAAAGTTTCTAACTGTTTGGCTTTGATGGTGGTTCGAGGACCCCGTCTTTTAGCTCCCGGTGTATTCTCATCATTTTGTTGATTCTGTGAGATGTAATTGTTGGCACTGTTCGGGCTGCTTTCACTCCCACTCATTTTGCTGTTTTTATTGTTATTTTTGGCAGGACACATGGTGGAACCAGAATTAGAATTGTGAGTGTTTCCCAAGGTTCCGGTCAATTCATTGTCGGCAAGGGATCCAGTGTTGTCGGAAAGATCGTAACCATTTAATATTACATTAGGCTTCCGTTCCCAGCTGGGATCTCTCACATCTTCGTGTGTGAGGATATGATCAGGATCGGCACGGCTGTCGTTCGTATCTTCGATCTCTTCGCGATCTGGCGGAGTTCGGGGGGTCAAAGCTGCGAATAAGAATAGTCGAAATTCATTGTATTGTATAAGAATATTACTTATCATGAAATAAATAATATACAAACCAATAAATGTAATAAATATGGTATTTCAGTTGACGGCGCTACATTCGACGAAGGATGTTGTTAATTGAGAAGAACTCCATAAACAAACCAAGCCCCCCTCCACCCGCCCAGTGGCACGGCAGTATGTCTGCGGTCTTACAACGCTAGAAACCGGGTTTCGATACTCGTGGTGGGCAGAGCAAAGATAGCCCATTGTGTAGCTACAAACAAACAACCCGAATCCCTATTTAAATTATTTTTGCAAGGGGGAGTGGGCCCCCATCCAGTGGCACAGCGGTATGTCTGCGGACTTACAACGCTGGGAACTTGGTTTCGATTCCCGTGATGGACAGAGCACAGATAGCCCATTGTGTAGCTTTGTGCTTAACTACAAACAAACAAACAACCCGAATCCCTATTTAAATTATTTTTTCAAGGGGGAGTGGGTGGGTATTTCGGACAAATATTAGTGTGTTTTTTTGTTGTTGTTTTTTGTACAGCTCGTACGAGATATAACGCAGATGGTCACGGCACGCATAACATCGATTAAACATATCGAAGGAATAGACATACACCCATATTCCAAGCTGCTGTTGAAATATGGACAACGTGAAAACCATCGTCCGAGCCACCCGAAAATAATTACAGCTAGCACGATTTCAGCCTTCAAACCCAAATCGCCGATACCGATCCCACGGAGCGAGGACAGCTGTGGCCCTCACCAGTAGTTTTAGGATTTCCAGTTCTGCCTTCTACATTGATCAACTATTTTGTACATTTTTTACAGCAGTTCCTATAAGGAGCCGATAAATTATACACGAGACACGCGTTATCGAGGCCAGATGGCAAATTTTTTTCAAGTGAAGAACTGGTCGTGAAACATTAGCAACCGCTATTACGAAATAGAGGCCCGGCATGGCCAGGTGGTTAGGGCTCTCG